ATGACCTGAGTAGAATGGACTAGAATACACCACCCCCATGAGGCTGGAACTTGTTCTGAATCCCAGTTTTGCAGCTGGGGAAAGCGAGGCACAGGCTTGGTCAAGGCCACCCCAAGCGCGGTGGCAGAGGTGGGGTTAAAACTGAGGCGCTCCTGCCCCCCCCGCCTGTGCTCAGCCCTCTCCTCTATTTACGAGCACCCCATAAAGGAGGTTGGGGGATTCCCTGGGCGTGACCGACACATACAGGCATGTGACTGGCTGGAGAGGAGAGGTTCTCTCCATTTGCAGGCTGGGCTGCTGGAAACCCTGCTGCAGTGACCCCCAGGTAGTGCCTAGCCAGGTAGTGGTGTAATGTGCTCGTCATCAAAGAGGCCTAATCAATGAGCCTGTGCGTGATGGGAGGGGCCCCAGGTGTGACTGGCCCTTTGCCCTGTTGTGGCTGGGCAGAGCGTCAGAGGAGTTAAGGTAGGTGTTTCTCCTAGACACTTAACAATTCAGCAGCTCATTTCCTGGGGGGCCGGGAGGGGACTGAGACTGCTCAGCACGGAGACAAGGCATGTTACACCCCAGAGAACTGAAAGAAACAACCCTATGATCATGAGCCGCTTCCCTCAGCCCCAGCCCAGCCGCCCCGGTGCTGGCTCTCTCAGGGGCTCCAGCAGGTACTTAGACTCCTCCCAGGTAACAGAGGGTGTCTGGGGCGTTAGCTGGACTGGGAATGAGGTGCTAAGCCAGGGATGTGGCAGGTTTGTTCACTCTTGTGGGCGCTTTTTATCCCAGCCCTGCTCTAGGCCCCAGGCACAGCTCTACCAAATTCACAGCCATGAAAAACACCTCATGGACTGTGACATCGGGTCTCCCCCATGACATCTGGCTACTGTTGGGGATCACGGTATTGCCACCTTTACTTCTGTGCTGCCAGAGCTGGGCAGCTGGAGAGCGGCGGGTGCTGGCTGGGCGCCCAGCTCTGAAGGCAGCGCCGCCACCAGCAGCAGCGCAGACGTAAGTGTGGCAATATCAGGCCCCCCCCCTTACAATAGCCTTGCAGCCCCACCCCCCCGCACCCTCTTTTGGGTCAAGACCCCCATGGTTACAACATCGAGATCTGATCATGTGACATTTAGGATTTTAAAAATCCTATGACAGTGAAATTGATCAAAATGGCCCGTGAGTGTGGTAGAGCCCCCGCCCTTGGGGCGCTGTTGGGTGCTTTGCCGCATTGGCCCTTGTCTCGCCAGAGCCTAGGGCATCGTGAGCCTCTGCCCGTGGGTTCTGCATCCTGCTGACACCGCAGGGCTGGAGCCGGGGGAGCCGGCGGGATGGTGCTCACGGCAGAGGGAATTTCTGTAAAGTCCCTCGGGCCGTGTTAAACGATCGGGGAAAACAAACCATCTGGTCCGGGCTCTAGCTGACAAATTAATTAGGAAAACACAGACGTCAGTGTCTGTGCTGTGGCGTCTCCTGAGGAAGGCAATTCCGAGGCACCAGGACGCTCCATCACCCGCTGCACGTGCTCAGCTGGATCAGTGCATGGTTTGTTTGAATGCACTAATTCAACAACTGCCCAGAGCGGGGATGTAACTTTCCTCTGCGCGCCCCCCCCCTCCCCCGGGGATAGTTATGCACAGCAGCGTGTGGGAGATTTGACTCCGCTTCTCTTTGCAACGAGCGCAAGGGGCCCGGCCCAGCCCAGAACCAGCCCAAATGGGCCGCGTGGGCCACGGGGAGGAGAAGGCAGGGAGGGGATTTGAATTAAAGAATTAATATGAGAAAATGAACTACGTGGTGTTCACGGCAAGCGTCACGGCACTCTTATAAAACATCCCCCTAAGTGCGGCCGTAACCTACTAGTACGTGTGACACCCCAGTCACTAGCTAGTACCTGGCCTAAGGAGGCGGTGCTACCAATCGGACCTGTGCCTTGGGCTCGTTTATTGGCTGTAGGGCCGCCCCTGGATGCCCTGCGGGTAGGAGCAGGGCTGGGGCAAAGACCTTGTCACCTCTAGTCCGGCACTGGGCTTTGCTGAGGATGGGGCACGTAGAGACCTGCCTTGACCCAGCACTGGCTCTGTGCAGCCTAGGCCAGGTGAAGCGAATCATTTCCCTCTGCCGGTGCCTCCCCGATTGCCCATCTCTGAGCTATTCCAGCGCCAGGCTCTGGAGGCGCGTCACCTTCGGCTTGGCTCCGATGTGCCGTATGAAACCGGGAACGGGTGGGCTGAGTGGAGCTGGGCGGGGCTAAGTGTGATGAGGGCATGTGAGGTGCAAAATTCACCCCCACTGCTCCGCCAGTGCCCCTCGATCCCACCCCTTAGCCCCCCTGTGCTATGCCAGGCCTGGGCACTACCCCATCCCCCCCGCCAGCTCTGCTGGTGCCCCTCAATCCTGACCCACGGCTCCCAACGCTGGGCTCCCTCTTCCCCCTTGGCTCTGCTGCAGAGCCTGAGTCCCCACCCAACGCCCCCGGCTCGGCCAGCGCTGGGCGCCCATCACAGCACCAGTAACCTCCGGCCACGCCTCAGCTGGGGCCCTTGGGCGTTGGGAGCCTCCCCTCAGACAGGCCTTTCCCTCCCAGCCCATGGAAACACCGTAGTGCTTCTGGCAAACCGGAGCTGCTGGGGCTATTCATGGCGTGACCCACTCAAGGAGCAACTTGCCCCCCACAGAACAAGGCAGGCCTGGGTGAGGCGCTGGGCTGGGAGCGGCTCACCGGTGCTGCCTATGGGCCTCCGCTCTGCCTGGCGCTTGGCTCACTCTGCTGACGGCTCAGGCCAGAGTCAGGGGGCCTCGGGCTAGCCCCGGTGACGTCCCATGTTCCCTTTTGGGAAATACGGTCACCCCAGGCCAGCAAGAATCCCCCCTGCCAGAGCCACAGCAAAGCCTTGAACATGCAGATTTCCCCCCAAGCCCCCAGACAGGAGCGAGGGACCAGGCTCATAAATGTGCTGGGTGCGCCTAAGGCTGAGCCCATCCGTCATGCTAAGGGCGGGCCAGGCACAGAGAGGGCCCGGGCCTGACGACAGGAGAGTTTCACACCTGTTATCAGTCGGGATCAAGCGGTGCCTCATCAGTGTGGAAAACGGCAGCTCTAGCAATTTCCCCCGGCCGTGGCAACCTGTCACCTTTATAGCCTGTAATCCCCGCCCCCCCGGGCTACCTGGGGACTGCTCCCCCTGGCGCCCATCTGTGACGTTATTGATATAATCTGGGACCATATAGATCATTGTTGCAACCAAGGTCCTGTAGTGGCACCAAAATCTTGTATAAAGGGGGTCAAATGGGGTGTCTAAGACAAGGTTATGGTTTACTGGTTATGATTATGCTGTCTATATGTGTGTATCAATTTTGTAGTTGAAGTTATGAATATTGGCTCTATACTGTCTGTATTTCAAACTTATGCTATGCTGCTGGGTGACATCCCAGACAAGCTGGTGTTAGCTCTGCCTAGCCTGCTTGATGGCCCATTAAGGACCATCAGCTATACAATGGACCCATTGAGAGAAGGCAAATATGCCTTGAGACTCAGCAAAGTATGCAGGGACTGGCCCATGTGACTCCAGGCTCCATTTTGCTGTAATTTTCCACAGTAAGAACAAAGAGGTGTTCTTACACCTGGAAAAGACTATATAAGGCTGATGCCTCATCTCCATCTTGTCTTCAATCCTGCTTCATACCTCTGGAGGAACTTTGCTACAAGCTGAAGCTTTGAACAAAGGACTGAGGACCCATCCCAGCGGGGGATGTATTCCAGAGACTTGATTTGAACCTGCAGTTTATTCTATCGCTGCTGCAAGCCTGAACCAAGAACTTTGCCATTACTGTATGTAATTGATTCCATTTAACCAATTCTAACTCTCATCTCTATCTTTTTCCCTTTATGACTAAACCTTTAGATTTTAGATTCTAAAGGATTGGCAACAGCGTGATTTGTGGGTAAGATCTGAGTTGTATATTGACCTGGGTCTGGGGCTTGGTCCTTTGGGATTGAGAGAACCTTTTTTGTGTATATTGGGATATTGGTTTTCATAACCATTTGTCCCCATAACGAGTGGCACTGGTGGTGATACTGGGAAACTGGAGTGTCTAGGAGATTGCTTGTGAGACTTGCGGTTAGCCAGTGGGGTGAGACCGAAGTCCTCTTAGTCTGGCTGGTTTGGTTTGCCTTAGAGGTGGAAAAACCCCAGCCGAGGGCTGTAACTGCCCTGTTTGAGCAATGTGTCCTGAGTTGGCACTCTCAGTTGGGTTCCGCCAGAACCACATCGTCACACCATCCCGTGGGTGTCACATCTCAATCCATCCTGGGTCCAACAGTTGATATCTGTCCCCTCCTACGTGCTCTGAGAGCACTGGTCCATATGGACTGGTTTTCTCTCCATTTCTCTCCCTCGTTTCTTCTCTGGCCCCCGTCACTGCAGAAGCTGGCCAGCGCCTGATGCTTTGGCGGTTTTGCATCGTGTATGAGGGCGTGTTTGAGCACAGACCCTGTGCTGGGTGCAGGGCGAACCCAGCTGTGGAAAGACCATTCCTAAGAAAAGTACCTTAATAAGGACCAGTTCTATTCATCTTTATTTCACAGGAAGTCACATGCTGAACAAGAAAACTAGTGGCACTAGAGTACCCGTACCAGCAGAAATCTGTGCTTTATTCACAGGACAAAGTATCATCACAATGTGGTTGGAAACATTTTTTTTCAAGCATACACATCACCATCTTCATGGGTACATACTTCGCTCAGGTGACAAAAGGCAAAATGGAGAGGCCCACTCCAGCCTCAGACGCATGGCTTCCCATGGGTCATAGAGCCCCATGTAGGCCCCAGCCCCTGCGGGCGTGGGGCATTCATCCTAGTCCTGGTAAACTGGACTAGGAGACGAGAGAGACTGACCCACCCAGAGCCCGGGAAGCTTTAGCCAGGGAATGCTCCAATTGGTGGTTATTTTCGGAACATGCACAAGGTACATGCCAGGTAGACGCTTGAGCCAGTTTGCGCATGGGCAGCAGTGTGTATTGACCAGCCATTATTAAAAATCAGATGGCCCGTGGCCTCCACACGGCCCATCAGGCCCTTTTCTGGCTGCTCAGGGTGTGCCCCTCACAGTATAAAAACCAAATGCAAAACAAGCCCCCCCAGCTGCTGACAGAATCTGGTGAGGGCTTGGCTGTGTCCAGCTGTCTCTGCCTGGCACATGTTGGGCTGCGGACATAACTCCACATCCTCCTTGGCCTTTGGCCTGGAAAAGCCTGGTCTCCCACAGGGTCTGGAAAGCCGCTCTCGCCAGCACCCGCGAGGAAGGACAAGATGGCCGACAGAGGGGGTGGCTTGCACGTTGGCCTCCAGTTTGAACCCTCATGGAAGACTGCGGCATGCTCGCCTCACCACTGCTCTGGGCCTGGACATTTATTCCCACCTGAAGTCCTGCCCAACGGTTTCATAGAATTTAATATTATATGGTCTATAAAAGTCCCGGAGCTGCTCTATCACCTCAGGGTCTATCTGCACATGAGTTCTCCCTTTGGACTTGCCCAGGCAGCGCGGTAAAGTGCTGCTCTCTGTTTTTTTCAGGCAAGGAAACCCTTTTGTCTTGTTGAAGTAGAAGTGCTTGTCCGTGATCACCCGCTTGATGCCCAGGAAGTCCTGCACTTTGCCCATCTCCCCGGCCGGGTCTGTGATCAGCTTTTCCCCACTGACAAAGTGGATCTGGGAGAGGGGGAAGTACTGGAGCCAGTTCTGCAGGTGCACCACGTACATCCCGATGCGGATGGCGTTCCACGAGGTGTCCACCAGCCCCAGGCTGCGGTTCTGGAAGGACAGCCCTTCGAAGGTGGGGATGTCGGGCTTCTTGGAGAGCGTCTGCGTGTAGTCCGAGATGGCCCTGGTGACCGGGTTCCGCACCACCACGATCAGCTTGGTGTCTCTGGACATGTTGAAGATCCGCCGTGGGGCCTCCTTGGTGACAAAGTAACTGGGCGTCTTTTCCATTGTGATTTGGCTGCTGAGCGTCCTGGGCATCAAGCTTCTGTAAGCAAAGAAACGCACAGGTGAGGACAGGAGTTGGGACCCACACGAGGCGTTTGCAAACACAGCCCCGGCGCCCCGTTCTCAGAGCCCAGGCAGCTGGTGACTGCCAGACTGGGCACCGATAATAGCCAGACTAACACGCACCAGGCAAGAGACTCATTCCCATCCGGACGGGACCACACCACCAAGAGGCCAGGAGAAGACAGGAGCCCCCGACAGTCAGCTGAAGCATGCATCGCCAGACGAGGGACATGGGAAACTTGCCCTGCACTGTAGCTACTGATGGGACAACTGCCACAGTCTGGCAGGTTCAGAGAAGCAACCAAGCAACCTTCCTCACCTGACCGAAGGAGCGCAATTGTCATTCCTTACGTCCTCTCGCTGGCAGGACAAAGCCCCAGGGGAGGCACTGTCGGGGTTGCTTTTCTGTGGCCCCAGGGAGATGGATTATTGATCTTCTAAGGCTTTCCCAGCTCTTGGGCTCAACGAAAAACCCACCCAGGTTTTTTTCCAACCATCCAAGAATGTTAATGCCACATTCATAATGTTCCAGCCATTCCCAGCCTCCCTGTTGTGTGCACTTGGGCTTTGTAAGGTGGGAAAGGACTTGAGTTCAGACAGACAGACGGACATTTAGAACATCGGTCTCAGAAACAGAGAGAGCCCAGCTCAAAGTCCCCACCGTGGAGGTGGGCCACAGGGACACTAACCAGGCAAGTGCAGGAACTGAAAGCAAGACGGTGCCCGATTGAAACTTCCGGAGGGATTGAGAGAGGCCCAGTGCACTTGGCCAGGGCTCGGGGTATCACCCCTACTCCTGTGAAAAGTCTGAAAGTGCCTTTGAATGACCAGGCCCTCAGCCCTCCAGCTCAGCAGTGCCCCTAGCACCAAAGCGGGGTGTCGGCGTCACAGTAACGCGCAGAGGAGAGTGCGACCGACTGACTCACCCACATCATTTCCTGCTGCACCGGTGCGTAGGTGTCCCTGGGACGGCTCCCACCCATGCACTGACTCAGCCGCAGCACAAGGTTGTAGTGCTGCCCGAGCACTAACCTCTGACGTGGTAATCTGCCGCTTCGCCCGCCCGGGGGCAGGTCAGTAACGCTGCGTTAGTGCTAAGGTTGGGCGATACACAGATGGGTCGAGGAGAAGCTGGCCTGTCACATGACAGGCAATTACCCCGCTCTGGCAGACGGGGAGCGGTGTCTGCCTGTACACAGGATGCTGGCAGACTGCAACAGGGAAGCTTACGCACCCCTGACAAGGGAAGCTCCGGGTTTGAATACAGAGGCGCTGGCCACACCTGCTCCCTTCCCCAACCCCTCAGCTAGGACACGTAGGATTCAGACACCGACTCCCCCTGGGGCCTGAGGCGCAGCGAAGCGGTGGGATTTTCATGCACCCAGTGCTTCTCCCTTTGAGCAGCTGGCAGAGACTGAGCGCCAAGCCAGAGCCAGGCGCAGGCGAGCGTCTCCTGCTCTGCTCTGGATCCAGACAAGCTGGCCGAGGTGCCAGCAGCAATGTGCCAGGGCGTCTCCGAGCCCTGCTCTGGCATCACTCGCGCTGCCCTCTCACAGCTCCAGCCGCAAACAGAGGCCGGGCTGGGGTGCAGAAAACAAACCCTGGGGGAGACAGTCACGCCGTTCTGCCGCCGGTCTGGGCGCCACAAGCCAGTCCCTCTCAGGGACAGTATCTCCGCTGACAGAACCGGCCCCTCGCAGCCACCAGCAGAGTCCGCAGGGGCGTGACTGGGAGCTCGCCCCCTCGCTGAGGATTACCACCAGGGCAAGGTCCTGCTGTCTGCTAAAGTTGTGCGATATCAATCGCCCGGCTGAACAATCAAGAGGCCCAGGGGGTTCCTTGCTTTATTAGGGCTCGGTTCCATCACACGACTCCTCGAAGGTCCTTTCAGTCACTTATAGCCCATAGCGTGGGGGAGATCGTCACAGAGACCTGGGGCTGTGAGAGATGCAGAGCTCCCAGTGAGACCTCGGCAGTGGCTTGCTGCCGCAGGGCCCCATCTGCCCTTGAAATAGTCATGATGGGATCTGTCCTAGTGCCACCGGCCCTGCCTCCAAGCAGCCAGCCAGCCACCCGAGGCGGGCACACAGCCGAGATGGTTAAACAGACCCTGGGAGCCTGGGCAGGCCCCAAACGTGAGCTGTTAGTGGTGGGGAAAGTCCCGGGGCTCAATCTCAACGACAGCTCTAAGGAGAGGGGCGTGTGCTGGGTATCTGGATGTGCCATAGCACTGTTCACAACTTGTGGCCACAACTGCGCACACCGCCTGTTGCCCCCAGGACACTGGGTCAAGTGGGCAGAGGTTGTCCCAGTTTGCCAGTGCTTGGGTCGGCCTGTGTGACTGGAATGGGGGGCCCCAGGCCAGCAGGGCTGTGTGACTCGGGCCCAGTGAAAAACACCCCCTGGCTGCTGGGGGGAGGAGGGGGTCACTGAGCCCACGGGGCCAGTCCCCACTGCTTGAGTGATTGACGCACTTCATGGACCCTGGAGCCCTGAACTCAATTCCTGCTCTGCCACAGAGTCCGTGTGAGTTGGGGCAAGTCTGTGAATCTCTCTGTGCCTCAGTTCCCCTCCGTACAGGGGGGCCTGCACTGCTGGGCTGCACGGGGGCTGGGAGGGTTGGAGACTAGCATGAGGAGGGCCATGGACATACGGAGACAGGGCGATTTCCCCACACTGAGCATCGCTGGGCCAGCGGGATGGGGCCAGCTGAGCCCACCCCTCACCCCTCAGCCCGGGCTGTACCTCTAAGCACAGACGCGTCAGCGCGGTTTCCAGCTATGGCCGTGCCCCAGGGCGGCCTCCCAGACCAGCAGGAACGGGGATGGAGTCGCCACACATGGGCCCTGGTGTAAATGAGGCACAGCAGTCAGGGGCATCAGCGGTGCACGTGCAGGATGGGGAGCTCCCTGCCGGTCCGGTGCAGCGTGTGCCCAGGGGCGGGGCAGGGAGTACAGGGGTCGGGTGCTGTGGAATGGATAATGCTCCATCGCGAGCCTGGGTCAGCCCCTTTATCGCCAGCAGGACACCGGGCTGCTCCAAGGGCCTGGGCCCCCTGCATCTTGGGCCAGCGCACGGCCTTCGCCGTGGAGGGGTCCCGGGAGCAGGACCCAGACTCAGAGTGGAGGGGGCCAGGCCCTCTGCAAACTGCGCCTGCCTTCCCAGCGTGGGGCTATTGAAATCATGGGCTTTGACGGCTGAGCAGCCCAATCAAATAAGCCAATGGGCAGGACAGATTTATCCATCAATCTTGCTTATTAAGAATAAATGGTTAAATCAATCAGGGCTGGATTTATTGCCGGGTGGGTCGCTCCCGGCTCGAGCTGGGCAGAGCCGGTGGGCGCCTGGTTGAAAGCTGCCACGCCGACAGGTTTGCAGCCGCTCGTATTTGCTTTGCGACATGAGCGGGACTGGCCTTGGGGAGCGGACGGGCCAGGGCTCTGCACGGGCACAGGTGTTTGCACCAGGGAGTTCCATGCCACCACATGCGCCGTGTGAGGCTGGGCGCCTCCTTGGCAGGGGGCAGGCGCCGCCGTGTGAGATGGGGGCCCCATGACGCCGCAGCTGCGCCCAGCTGTAGTCACAGGAACAGCCCAGGGGCTGAAAGTGGCTCCTATCAGCCTCCTCCAGCCACCACACCGATCGCTCGGCCCTGAAGGCCACAAGCCGGTGAGGGCGCAATCCTGCGTCCATTGCTGGCTGAGACCGGCTCGCCCAGCCCTGCTCCAGAGACCAAGCACTCCCACAGCTGCCAAACCTGGCGATGGCAGCAGGGCGAGGGAGTCTGCCGATGCCCACTCCCAGCCAACCCTATTTCCCACCCACGAGGCCTGGGAGCGAGAGGAAATGTGGGGACAATGCCTGACTGCTGCGTGCGCCATGGGGCCCTGCTGATCGCAGAGAATGAGGGGATTTGGGGGAACGAGATTTTTGGGGTGGGGAGGGGAGCCCCAAGGGATGGGCCCACGAGGTCTGATCGCTCTCTGGGATGCCCTGGGCTCACACCTCCTTGGCAGCATGTCGATAAGCCTGCTGTGGGGCTTGTAGCCGGAGAGCCTCCCTGTGCAGGCAGCGGCCCAGCCCTGGAGCTGTGCCCAGGGACTGACCCCGTGTGAGAGAGCAATGTGTGCACACGCTGCATGGCCCTTTCTCACGGTCTGCGGCAGGCCGCTGGAGACATTCAGCTGCGGCACCCAACCTCCGGCACCCCCCAGGGGTCCCCCACCCAGTAACCAATGGTCACAAGAACGAGGCCCTAGAACATAGGACCTGCCATGTGGGCAAACTGTGTCTGTGTCACTGCTGCCCCCTCTGCTGGGGGCGGGTTGGAGGCTGGCACCCGAGCTGCATGGGCCAGGCGGGGGAATTGCACGCAGACTGCAGCTGCTGCTTGGGCCAGGTGGATCACGACACCTGCTGACTTTCCCAGGTGTGACCGAGACGGCTGCTGATTGCCACGGACTATTAACGGGGTGGCTGCCGCTGTGGAGGTGGAACCAGGAGTTGAACTGCTGGGCAATAACCTGCTGCAGGAGTTTCTTCAGGGCAGCCCGTTCTCACCAGCTACGTCACTCATGTCCTTTCCAGAGGGGCAGGGCCCAGGGAGCCGCTTTGTGCTAGTCCCGCAGCGCTGCTGGCTGTGGTGCCCTTTCTGTACCTCTCCTGACCCACAGCGTCAGAGCCATTCAGCCTGGGGCTAGGCTGCCCCTGCCTGCAGCGCCACGGCCTCAGCGTGTCCGTCTGGCCCCCTTCGGGCAGGGAGCTGGGGAGGAGGCCTGGGCAGAGCCGGACATTCCTTGCTCCTGTCAACCCCCCAAGCTGATACTAGGACTCCTGCGTGGGGCCCCAGCCCCGCTTTCTCTATGGAGCCATGCACCGGCTTGCGGGGTAAAGGAGAGATTTAATTTCAGCTGCTTGGTGCCCTCAGACAATGCCCACGCCCCTGCCTCGGCTTCAAAGCAGGAAGTCAGAGCTCCC